GTCCACAAAAGGAGTTATTTCTACAGAATAGCTATTAGACCAAAATTATTGGAATCTTTCTTAACCAATAAATATCTTTGCAAGCTAAATGATAATAATTACAGAAAATAAACCAAATATCTATAAAAATTTCTAATAATAGGAAAAGTGATTTTAATAGGTGATTAAGCCATAAAGGTAATCAGTATCTTTTGCAGATAATCTGGAAAAAAAATAGAGTACTGTTTCAAAAATTCATTTAACATGTGCCAGTTTGCAATCAGTTGTATAGATCTTTAATTGTTTATAAAATCAAATCAAATCAAGAGATGTGCCTGTAATGGAAGCAGTTATGTCCCTTAAATCACTTGACTAAACGTTTTCTTTTTAATGAATGTGGTTATTTTCTAAGCATAGCTTAGATGTGGCACGTGGCCGAAAGTATGGGGCACCTAGTGAGGATCAAACTCATTTTTCAGCCGTAACTAATCTAACCTGACAAGCTTGTTAACTATTACACCACCCTAAGGTGCACACTTTATAATGCATGTGTGTGTATTATACATTCCCTTTGACAGAGAAATATTAATAAACATTTACTTATATTTCAGAAAGTAGTCTTGTATCCCAAATGTACAGTGAGTGAAAATTTGGGTCATATTATTTATGCATAAAATACCATTCATCCATGAATTGAATACTGCTACCATATCTGATCAGGTACTCCTGTTATTCATCTAAAGTTTCTTGACAAAATCCAAAAATGGATCTGTAATGTAATTGATCCTGAGCTGGCATCTCAACTTCAGTCCCTTTCTCATCAACGTGGCATGGCTTCTCTCTATCTTTTCTACAAATATTTTCATGGCAACTGCTCCAACAAGCTTTTATCCCTGGTACCCCGACTACATGAATTTAAGCGTGCTACTAGATTGGCATCTAGGTCCCATCTATTTACTGTCAAAATAGCTAAATGCAATAATTACTTCTAGTCTAACAATTTCTTTTATTACACTTCCTGTCAATGGAACTCCTTTCTATGCTGCCCGGATAACTACAATCTTCAAAAATTTTAACGCAATGTTAATCGCCATCTTCTCCCTTCTTTAATCCTGTTCGTTTTTTATCTTTTCTGCAATCCTCCCTATGCTCAGTCACTTTCACTCCCTGTAACCCTGCATATTATCTATCACCATGGTAGGGAGAGCTGGCAGTCCAAGAAAAGCATTTGCACCCCTATGCTCGGAAAATGATGTGAACTAATTTTAGTATGCTAATTATTACACCAAAAACCATTCATCATTTTTAGCATTTGATACTATTTCACTTTTCATACATATTATTAAATAAAAATGTTGGTAAACGTTAACTTTCATGCCTACAAAAAAATGGTGTGTCAAAAAGACAATTTTTCCCTTGGCTCCATTATTATTTTGTACTACCTTCATTCCTTCAGCAATGTTTATTTACAAGATTATAAAAATATGTGAACCTAGTCTAATATGATGTTTATTATTTACCTTTCATAAAGAAATAAATGTGAAAAATCTATTTATTAAAAAATTAAAAAGAAAAATTATCAAAATATCTAAAGTAAGTACAATGTAATATTTATCATTTACCATTTTATAAATAACTATGAAAACAAAGTTTTTTTTATTCATAACTAGCAGTAGAGCCTGGCGTTGCCCGGGGATATAACAGTAAGAGATAGATCAAGTATCCACCATCATAAAGACTGAAAAATAAAATTGACAAAGATTATTATTTAAGGTTGACAGACATGCATGTCATAAGTAGTTTTTTTTAATTTTTTATTTTTTACGAATTGGTCAAACCCAAACTCAAACAAAAACATTGTTTTCAATCGTTATGAGTCTACTGATTGAATAGAATTTTATTAAAAATAATTGTCTTGTAAATGGAATTTTTAAAGCATTCTGAATGTTAAAAAGAAAGAAAAAAAAAGTGTGCAAGAGAATAAGAAACACTACCTGCCAAAAAAAAAAAAAAAAAAAAGTGAAGTTTTGTTTTATCGGGAATTGAAAAATATAGGAAACCGATGTGAGTTGTCCCCTTCCATTTTCACGATGTCTCTTAATCGTGTTTTCAAATTGATTTTGTGCAAAAACAATTATATTTTTCCCATTTTTTGGCGCTGTTAGAACCACCACAAGGTAATTTTATGTAGTCCTGTGAAGCGTTGTTGAAATCGGATGAAAAATGTAGGAAATCCGATCCAATATATAAACGTTACAGACACACACACAATCTGCGTTTTATAATAAGTAAGATAAGATTTTATAAAACTATCAATACTGGAAAATGCATTTTTTTCAAAATTTATAATTACAGTTACTTGTTATTTGTTTATTTAAATTTTCTTATTTGTCATACATTTTTCTATAAATTAATGAATAAAAAAATGTATTTCTATATTTATTTCTTTATAAATGGTAAACATTTTATTTCATTAGTTGGTTCATATTTTAGAATGTTGTAAATATAAAATTTTTCTTGAAAATAAACAATCCAATAAATAAATAGTGTTTAATATTGTTTTGCAAATTCTCAAAGAACAAAGTATCAATTCACTTTCATATGTTTGGGTTTTATTAAAATTCTAATCATTGCTTTTTAAAACAATAAACATTGCTGAGGAATGAAGGTTGTTAAAATAATAGTAGTGTCAAGCGGAAAAGCCATCCTCTTGACACTATGTTTTTTTTTTTGTGGGCACGAAGATCCAAGTTTGTCAAAATTTTATTATAAATAATACAAAAAAAATATTTCTTTTTATTTAAATTATTGCTTTTTTCCAATCTGGGAATCGGCTAATGTTACTCCAAACTGAGCATTAGAATTCATATAAATGCATTAGTGTAAAACACTTACTTGTAGCCCCTGACTTAAAGGATTCCCTCCCCCACAAAATACTTTGGTGATAAGTCTGGGTTAGAGAAACCCCATTATATATCAGCCAATTTCCAACCTAAACTAGAACTGATGAAACAAAAGAATTTAAACTTTCAGATATCTTAGGTGCATTAAGTGACACTTGAATTTAATTCCTATTTCTCTTGATATACCAACATTTGGAATAGGAAAATATGCCTTCCAAAAGTTAAGCAAAGTATTAAGAAACAGGAAAATTTCATTAGAAACAAAGAAAAGAGTACTGATCTCTTACATAATATCAGTCCTTCTATGTGGCATTGAATGCTTAACAATCTCCTCACAGATGAAGAAGAGGCAATAGAAAGGCAGTTCTACAGAAAATTGATGAGAATACCATTGATTGAACATGTGAGTAATGTGGAACTTTTAAGGAAAGCATAAGCAGAAAGATCATTTATACTTAGAGACAATTGAAATTCCTAAGACATACTGAGGAAAGAAGGCTTGGGAAATTTGACTCTCACAGGACATATTTGAGGGACAGGGGAGAAAGAGAGAGTAACCTATCTAACAATATTGTGAAAATGGATGGCAGAATAAGGAGTGAGAGGGATGGTGAAACGACAAAACTTAATAAAAGCTACAAATGATAGGAAGTTGTGGAGAGCCATGATCGCCCACTTCCTGAAGAGATACAGAACATAGAATGATATACACTGATTTATTCAAACTGGTATCTTTATGTTGAATGTTTCAGTCAATGTACTATCCAGCATTTTTCAAGTGCCTGTCATATTTAGCAATGTTGTGGAAATTTCAAATAAACACTTTATTCAATGTACAAGGAAAGATTTTTCCTATTCCACTGTTTATACCACTGTGCATCTCATGTTAGTTGATTCTTCTTAGTTTAATCAGCTCTTCTGGTTGGCAAAATAAGACTACAACTGCAGATGGAATAAAAAGTTTGGTTTAACATTTCTGAATATGGCAAGCATCTGCTAAAGGTCAGAGGTTATAATAGGGGAAATATCATGACTATAACCACCAAGATGAAAACCCCAGTTTAAATTAATTCATAGTTGATTCTAAATTCTAACAAAAAAAAAAAAAAAAAAAAAAAAAAACAAAAAAAAGCAAAAAAAAACAAAAAAAAGCAAAAAAAAACAATCTAATTAAAATCCAATAACTGCTTTTGTTCCTTAATATCAACCAATGCAAATAATAGCTGTATATGATTTGAAGTTACCATCATAAGCTGACATGATATTACAAGTAATATTCATAGATAAATTGATACCTAGAATCCTTATGAACATTAGGGCAGGTCAATTTTGGAACTGTGGTATTGCACTCAATTTGAAAGTTGGGGTTTGACATGATAAATAATGACACAAAATATTTGGCAAACATGGATAAATGTGCCTGCAATAAGAAGTAATGTTAAAAAGGATGGTTTTTCCCATGTCACTGCTTTTTTAACTACCTTCACTCTTTAGCAATGTTTGTTTTAAAAAATGATTAGGATTGTAATAAAACAAACACGAAAGTGAATTTATACATTTTCTTTGTTCTTGAGAATTCACAACAAAAACTAATAATAATAATAATAAACACTACTTATTACACTGTTTATTGAAACTATTTATTTATTATATTTTTTGTTTGAATGGTTGGCAAAATATCAGCATGATGAGGGACTTAAAGAATTAAATATGAACATAGTAAAATGAGAGGAAACTGATGAGTTAATGAATCATGCAGGCACAAAATTGAAATGTGTTTTGAAAAAGGAGGACATTTTGAACAGCCCATATAACAATTAAATAACATTTTTATATGTAATTATACTTTTAATAAATTATACCTATGGTGCACAACTTTTGCCTCACTCTATATATTAATAAATTTAATCATTTTACCTTAAAAAATTATAAAGACTTGTAATATTAAAATAAATTCTTTGTGGTTTTAAAGGCACTATAAACTATTGTGAAATGCCTGACACTAAAGAAATGAAAAATCTCTTCGTATATTAATCTCTGTCTGAATTTCTGGGATAGGGAGTTATTAATTACATTCAGACTAATATCTTCATTGTTGTTATCATAACATTTCAGGCTTATGGTCATATCATGTTGAAACACTTGCTCCTGTATGATCACCAAAGTTAAGCAACATTGAGTCTAGTCAGTACCTAGTTCAGTGACTACTTGGGAATACTAAATGCTGTAAGCTTGGATGTGCAAGTGGTGCAATGGATAATAGCTTGGAATTGTTAATCAGAGAGCTGAGTTCCAATTCTAGTTGGGTTCATCATATTCATTTAAACACAAATACTCCTGGGAAAAATATTAAAACAAATCTTCTTACCCTCCAGCTATGGGTTAATTATAATTGGTAAGACTTTTATCACTTGTAAACTGCTGTAAGGAATTGGCTACACAAGCAGCCAACTGAATTTTATTTGTAGGTGGAATACTATTATTGAAAGAGGTGGTGACTATGTTGAGAAGTAACAATGTGAAACTCTGATATATAGCTATACCATGACGTACGATATGTTTGATTGTGTTCCTTATTTCTTATATAATAAAACAAGTTGCATTACTATTTGACTCATCCTCATACATAAGGTATTTAATGCCATGGATGTTGCAGATTAACATTTTTTTTTTTTTTTTAAATTTTTTCATACCAAAAAAAAAAAAAGGTGATAATGCCACTAAGACACAGAGGGTTATTGAGAGTGAAAGCAAAAGAGAAAATGTTACTGGGGAGAAAGGACAATAAAAGAACAGAATTCAGGAAGACAGAAGATGGCGATTGATATTGCATTTTAATTTTTGAAGATTGTAGTTGACAGGTAAGCAGGAAGTCTGAAGAAAGTTCCACAGTTGACAAATACCAGAGAACAAACTATTAGAACAGAATTTATAGTTACATCTAGCTATTACAACACTAAAATGATAAGACCATGTTGCTAATCTAGTACTATGCAATTGAGATACCAAAGAGGCAAGCTCATTAGAACAATTGCCATGAAAATATGTCTAGAAAGTGTACAGGGAAGCCCTGTTATGGTGGTGGGAAAGTGACTGAAGCCAAGATGCCAGGTCAAGATTAATAATGTTACAGTTTCTTTAGATTTTGTTAAAGATCTCAAGATATATAGCAGGAAACTCAATGCATAGAAAAATGGCAGAGTTAAGAGGTTAAGTGCCTAATGATTTGACAAATAACTGGGTTTTGTATGTTTATATATACTTAGGCTAAATCATTTTGAAGAGTTATTGTGTATTTTTTAAAAGGAAATAAGGATAAAATTATAGAAGCAAGTATTGCTTAATTTGGTGTAGCATTGTAGCTCAGACCAGACACATTCTCAGGGTGCAGTTTCTTCCACTCAAACACTTAGGACTTAAAAAGTAATTATTTGTCAAGAAATAAAACCATAAAATAAAACCACAGGACGAAATTATGGCAGTAGGCAAATTTTATTCTCATTGTAACCTTCTGCTATAGATGAGCAAGGCAGAGGTGAAGCATGCTGAATGGGGTAGGTTGCAACAGTCTAACGAGCATGTCTTCCTTTTTGCATTGTGGTGAATGGTCTCTTGTCCCCTTCTATGCCTTTTTGGGTTTTTGCTCTAAAGGGCCACTGCCTTATAGAGACCAGGCCTTCTTTGTCTTGTCAGCTCTGTCTAAAAAAAAGTCATTCATCAATAAATTGAGTCTGGCTTTACTCAGTGACCTACTTTGTCAGGACTGTTTGACATGATACCTTGTGTAGTCCACTTCACTCAGCTGATAATTGTTAAAACAATAACTGCCAAAACAATTTCTGTAATATCTGCAAGGAGACTGTCCATTATTCACTACCTATATAGAAGGACTGACATTACATAACAGTTCAGTAATCTTTTCTTTGTTTCTAAGGATTTTTTTTATTTCTTAATACTTTGCTTAGTTTTTGGAAGTCATCTTTCACTATCTTACTATGCTTTCAGATTTCAGTGTTGCACTTTCCATCATCTGTTAAAAGACTTTCCAGATCTTTAAACTGATCTTCAATTTGTAATTTGCATGTTGGGCTGTTTCTTTTGCTAACAACCATGCATTCATTAGAGAAGAAAAATTAAGTGACACTTACATTTCGAAGACGTCTATCGTTTTCTTCCTTCAGTTGATTGGATCTGCAGAAAGAAAAAAAAAGACCAAGATGAAAATTTAATAAAACTTTTAAATGAATTATTAAACAAACAAAAGTAAATTTTATACAATGTTACTGAAGTAGTTTAAATTATGAGAATTATTTAAAAAAAAATTTTTTTTTTTTTAAAAAAAACCATTTCACTCCAAACAAGGCAGTAATATCACTAAGATGCAAGGGGTCACTGAGAGTGGAAGAGAATGAGAAGACATGAGGAAAAAGAACTGGAAACCCAATCCAAAACTGGAAACAAGTGATAACCTCTACTCCTGTTCAAAAGACTGGAGAGGAGCATGAACTGGATAATAGGCGAATTTAACTACTCTTATTGAGGGGGGGGGAATGAGTAAATAAAATTTCAGAGTTTTAGGCAGAGAAGGAACTGGAAACCCAATCCTAAATAAGAAACAAGGGATAAATTCTACTCCTGTTCTAAAGACAGGGAAGGAATGTGAACAGGATGATCAAAAGGTAAAAATGTTGAAAGATTATCTGCTGTGTTAATAATACAATGTACAATTCTTGTTTCTGTTGAAGTTATTACTGGGTGATGATCAAACCTAGGATGTGTAGACAGCGTAACTTATTGATGCGAAAAGGAGAAATGGATAACGAAGTTCAAATCTCACCTTGTCTGTTGCTCTTCTACCAGCTATGAATTAAATAACAGGGTAGACTGAACTTTCTAGGCCTTGGGTAGAAGGACAACTCTGAATTCAAACACATGGAGAAGGTAACAGGAAACCATTTTCCTATCTTTCCCATATGTCATGGCAATTCACAGATAATAAAGAAGCAGAAACTGTGAAGAGCCATGACTGTCTATGTCATGAAGGAACATGGCATTAAAAAGTCAAGTACAGTAAATAAAACTACCTTAGTAAGGGAAAGAATAGTGTTAAGTATGATTCCAAACTTTTAACATTTTAGCATTCTCTGCTCTCAATGTTCAACTTGCCCCTACCTGTCTTGTATACTCTGCCATAATATATAATGACATCATTGCAAATAATGCAGGAATCAAAATTATTCTATTATAGATTTGTGTACAAATTTGTTCATTGGAGTCAGGCACACCTTTTAATGCTCAGCAATGAAACCTTCTATCTAACGGCAAATTCTGTCTGTCCATCCATCTGTCTGAAACTTCTCTAACTAGGGTCACACTTGCTCTACATAGACATATTATACCTTTTTGGAATCAGGATGATCCTGGGATTGAAAATCTGCCCTTCATCTGGTGCTTGAACATCCAGAATTGGGATAAGGAGAGAACAGTTAACAATTAAAATTTTAAAATAACTGGAAAAAATTAGCGATATTAAAAGTTTTTAATTTATATTGAGTTTATAGTAACGCAAAAACTTTGTGAATTTAAAAAATTTTGTTTTAAATTCAGTTAAATATCTTCAAAATTTGTGAATTGAGAAAATCAATTTTATTTCTTCAAAATGCCAAGGAATCAGAGTTAAAGTGAAAGGTTTCATGAGATTTTGAAGTTCCACAGAGTTTGTGATTTGAAGAAATTAATTTCAGGATGAATTGGAATTTCAGCCCAAATCAGTCTTTTGGCCAGAATTGGATTTATAGCCCAAATCAGAATTAAAGATTTCTTCAAAATTATCATTGTTGTCTTGCTCCGGCCCAATTAACCCTCTGCAGGAGCAAGTTTAAAAGTCTGCACAGAGTGAGGCTTTTAAGTTAGATAATAATAAAAAAGGTGTCTGAAATTATTAAGTTACTTGTGTGTTTTGAAAAACATTTGTTATTGTCTGGAAATTATTCATAAAAAGTATAAATTTGTGTCTAGATAGCTTAATTTTGAAAACTCTAGATAGATTCAAACCTAAATAAAACACTGTCTATATATTTTTGATGAATTCACAGTAAAAACACTGATTTAAAAACATCAGAATCAGGTGGTCATTGAATGAAATCTATTTTTAAAATTGTTGATTATTTTTAATTGTTAAATGTTTAACTCTTGTGTCTCGGTCTCTTAAGGGTTTTGAAGGAGGAGACAAAGAAATAAATTTAAATTTCTTATATTTAAGAAAAGAATAAAAAATGTGGTCTAACTTTTATTACTATTAGGTAAGTTGTTTGATAGATACACTTAGAAGAAATTGTGATGTTGAGAAGTGCAGTAAGTTAATAACCTGGAGATTTTAATACTTCTTAAGTACTGCAGGTTATGACCACAACAAAAATCACAACTATAATAGACAATTACACATCAAGCAGGGTACTACAAAATAAAAGTGGGTGGGGTGGGTTAAATAAATGAGATATTAAGTTGTAAAATTCCTAATTTAATATTTTTTTATCTGAGTCTCTCATAAAATAAACTTTTTTTTTTTTTACAGATCTACAAGATCTACTGTAAAATATTTTGTTTTAATTTTAAATAAACATATTTTTCTTTTGTCTGTAGTTATTTTTGGGAATATGACCTATAGAACTTGCTTATATGGCCCGTGCTTGATTCAAAAATCGTACAACTCATACAGCAACCGCTATCACTTGACTTAAAATATTTTTGACGTTCCTTGCCTTTAAAGGAGTGCCCTTTGCTGTGCTGATGTTGCTATATAGCTTACATCTTGCCTATCTCACACTGCAAATTTTTTCTAAGCTCTATAGTAAACATTAAATCTGTTACGAAAAAAGAACTAAGCAAAATGAACACAAAATGATCAGCTTTAAAAAAGGACTTGTAACTGGAAAAACCGAATGAAAAAAGAATGTTAACAACAAATACTTTTTCACACCCATCCCAGTTCTGCGGAATCAGAATCAACGTTGAGTTTAAGCAAGTTTAATGAGCCAATTGGAGTAAAGTGCCATGCAGATTTAAATTTTTCCCACTTGTGATGAATGCAGCTATCGATTTTTTTTTTTTTTGCTAGTTAACATTCATGTCAGTCAGCTGTTGGCTCTCACGCTGGCCAATAGAATTGTCCTGCCTATTCGTGGCAGCCAGCTATAGGCTCTCTGGCCAGTAGAAAATGGCCACAAACTACATGAAAACTGCCATAGAAGCATGAAAAAAATCGATTATTTCCACTATCGATGGGAGTTGGGAAATGCAAAGTCAGTCTTGGCCTTCCCGCTAACTTGGAGCATGTGCATGTAAATTTTGGTGCAAATCCGTTGAAAATTGCGGCCATGCATTTGTTACACACACACACACATCCTGCCTTTTATAGATAGAGATAAATTATTAAATGTTCAAGTAACTTATCTCTTGACCAACTACAGTTTCCTGTAATACTGCTCATCAGGTTAGAGGGCCTGAAAAATCTATTATTACCAGGTATCATTAATACTTTACAAAAACAAATACTACTTGTAGACACCAAGTTTTCAATTTTAAATATGCATATACATTAAAAATGTGGCAAAATTTAAATATTTAGAAGCAATTAAAATGTTTGTTTTTGTTTTTTTTAATAATTTGTCATTACAATGGTTTCAATGTCTATTTTCTGAATTATGCAACTGTTGGTGAATTTGCTGTGTTTATATTTTATAACAATTTTTTTTTTTAATCCAACATTTTAATTACTTCTGAACATTTAAATGTTGTCATGTTCTTAATGAACTCGAGCATGGTGCATATTTTCAAATTTCAACTTTGGTGTCTACAATCAGCATTTGTTTTGTGGAAGACGAATATGATACCTGGTAATAATTCAGTAGGTTTATTGGAACCTCTGACCCAAGCTTCAGTATTATGCAAAAATCTGGAGTTGGTCAGGAGATAAGTCACTTAATATATTTATTTATTTATTAATTTATAGACCATTTTTGCCAGTTATCTATTAAGCACTTTTTGAGAGAAAATAGACTGAGGTTAAGAAGACAAATTTAGTCTTCTGTTTAGTTCTTAGTTTCAGCTGAAATTGAGGGGTGCTCTATAGCCCCATGTGAAGAATCTATCATAAAAATTGTGTAAATAAAATAAAATAAAAATAATTGGTGCCTGCATAAGACTTTTAAAAACAAACTCAAAATATCAGCATTAGGCAGTGATTCTCAACCGCCATGCCATGGTAAACTAATGTGCCACACAATCCTCTTAAGTGACCCGCAAAATATTGTCACCCATTGATATATTTTGGATTTTAATACAAAAGGAATATCACATATTAGATAAAAAAGCTTTATCAGTTTTAGTGGAATCTTCTACTTCTTATTTATGTAAAATAGGCTTCTCAACCCTAAATAACAAAAAATAAGAAACAAGAAAAACTATGCTCAACTGAAGAAGAAATAACTGCATAAAAAGTTGAATAGAAACATTGAAATAAAATAAGATATTTGTGCATATTTTTTAAAGCTAGTTTTATTTCATAACAATTAAATGTATATCCTTTAAAAATTTTGCTAAGGGTGCTGTGATATTTTCATTTGCTTCTAGGTGTGTCCCTGCTTAAAAAGGTTGAGAAACACTTGTGTAAGGCATCATTATACACTACAAGAAGCTTAAGCTTAAAATTACACAAAGCTAAAAATTTAGCAATGATCTACAAAATTAATCATGTAATTCTTTTTGCGATGAATTACAAGTCTCAAATTATACATTGTAAGGCTACCTTTTTTTCTTTTTTTTTTATCAGAAATAAGCTCAATCTTTGTTTATGTTCAGTGTTGGAGGTAATTGTACTGTCATGAAACAGTGACATTATGATGAATACCACTCATAAACTACTAGTTAAAAAAATGAGTGCCAATTCAGCAAGGTGTGGCATTGCTCATATATTGAATTTAAAGAATGAATGTGGGGGAAGTTAATAAATGGTGGGGTCAGGTTAGAGTGAGATAACATTTCTGTTATGTCCTTATAAGGACATTTAGTGAAAGTAAAAGGGGAGAGAAGACATCATAACAAAATGACATCAACTCAAGTAAAATGACAAGCTGAGCAAGTAAGAAAGGTGAAAGAAACAAGTGAAGTCATAAAAATGAACGAGAGAAGGG